AATTCTGGGAGTTGAAGTCCACACATCTTAAAGTTGCCAAGTTTGAAAAACACTGGTCTAGCATTACATATTCTTTACTGAAATCCACGTTGTTCTTACTTGCTTGGCCTTGCCTTGCCTTGCTGCATGGGGCTTGAAACCTGCCATCAAATCCCATTATTTTCTTTAAACCCAAATATTTTAGAATTGAATTAAAATGAAATATGCTGCTTACTGTCACTTGCACCTTCCAAAGAGCCCCTATGCAACTTCACACAGGGCCCAAATATGAGTAGTAAAGTACAAATAATCGACAGTTGCAGAACTAGGGGAAAACACAAACATACACATATATCCTTTTGTTAAGCTTTCCTCTGTTGTTCTGAATAATTTTGCCTCCTTAGATTCCTGCCCTACCCTGACCTATTTGTTAATTTTCTAGATTAAAAAATAAAAAATAAAAACCTGAGATGCTGCAAGGCAAAGCATCAGCCTTTAACATTAACTTATTTTATAAAAATGACTCTGTGCTCCCATTAGGCAGTCTTTAGCTTTATTATAATGGTTCTCTCTCCTTAGAAAAGACATAAGCTGGGAGTGGCAGAGAACATCTTACAGGCCTAGAGGGGATGACAAGAAGTAACATCAACAGTTTGACTTCAGGTAAAAGTACTGCGTAACTAATCATGGCCATATGAGAGCCATTTGTAGAACTCCTACAACATGCTCTCAAAATTCCAAATGTGATCACTGGCCTCAAAGTGTTGCCTTTCCCCAAGCTACAGCATTTGGAGGAAACTATTTATGCTGGTAGAATGCACTATCATGACATTTTAGGACAGTCTTCCCTATGCTCAGTTCTCTCTGGAAAATTTCCAGCATTCTCCTCCATGACCATTGATCATTCTGGAAGTTGAATTATCTGCTGACCAGGATGGGGATTGCCTCAGTTTTACTAGTTGAGACATTCAAAATACACCAGTGGAATGGACTGGATGGACTACCGTTATATCAGATTCTCTTTCTCTTTATTATACAGCTTCTCTCTCTTCAATGGAACAACTTTACATTAGAGATGTGAGAAGAGGCAGCAAACAAATAATTGTAAACAAACAAATAACTAAACTTTACATTAGTCCCAGAGCTGATACAAGCAGCTTTCTTCTCAGTGCTGCTAAATGGTTATCTGCTTGTTGGTTTTGGGGCATGTAGCAATATAATTGTATTTTCTTATTTGGGCTCAGTGACCTGATTAGTGAGCTGGGAGAATGTTTCTATTTTTATACCATGGTTGTATTTCTACCCAGACAGAAGGCACTGGCAAACCTCTTCCATACTGCTATCAAGAAAATGCCATGGGTATATCCAGGTGGCTATCAGGAGTAAGGTCTGATAAAACCACTTGACTTGTTTGTGTGGGTTTTGCCCTATCTCAAGCTAAACCAGTGATTCTCAACCTTTTTGAAGCTGCCATGTCCCTAAGGAGCGGAAAATTTTTCAACGCCCCCCTTTGTGAAAATCCTGTAATTTAGGGTATGGGGGGGGGGAGTTACTGAATTA